TTTTGTTCGAGTTTCAAGAAAGAACAAGTGTGAACAAATGTGAATATTAATTTTGTAATTTGCTTCTGCATGTATGAATCGTAATTTGCAAAGAGTAGTGAGAGCGATTCTGATTGGTTCGAACCTAAGGAATCCAATGATTAACTAGATATTACTATTATTATAAGTATTATTATTATAGATATTACTATATTACTAAATAAATATTACTGTTGTGCCTTGTTCGAACCGTTCGAGACACCCGTGTTGACTGATAAGACAACCTGAGCGAAGGTCAAGTTTCCGACTTCACTTTCTGTGACTCAAAAGATATTACTATATTACTAACTAAATATTACTGTTGTGCCTTGTTCGAACCGTTCGAGACACCCGTGTTGACTGATAAGACAACCTGAGCGAAGGTCAAGTTTCCGACTTCACTTTCTGTGACTCAAACACATAGAGTATGTGGCAGAATTACGGGAGTAACAATATTTTGCATCGCTTCTTCACTACTTCCGGATTAACTGAAACTCCTTCTGGTCAGTCAGTGGAGCACACCATCGCGATTTACGGGATGTTTTGAAGGAACTGACCTGCGACCAGCGAAAATTGTAAAGGATGTTGGACCACTGACGGGTGCCATCCTTCCACTGGAGTTTCCAATGCTATATTCATACCGATCCACATGGAAAATGCTTCCAGGAATTTCCCTGAGATATTTCAGCTGAGCGTCAGGATGGTCTTGTGAATGGTTTCTTTTCATTGCCAACCACATCTGCAGTGTCGAACAACTTGAACCATTTTTTTCTGCGCAACACGTTTTGGTTTTTGCTATCTTATCAGGCTTCTTCCACAGACAGCTAGAGATTTCTGACTCCTAGTCCACAACATCAGTACAACAAGTGGTCGCTGACAAGCCTGTCCTTTCCGTATATGTGCAGAAGTTGGCCGCCGGGTATGAATCTACAGCAAAATTTGTTCATCTAGAGCACTTCTCACTTAATCCCCTGACTGTTATCAGCTCTTCAGCTGATGATACCAGCAGTATACACTTTCAAGGAGTAATCACATTCAGGCAGTAACTCGTCAGACAATCTCGTTACCTTCGATGTTCCCATGAGTCTACTGACACACAGCACAACCGAATCAAAACTCAGAGTTTAAGTCCTCTACAACATGGACTAACTAACTTTGCTTCTTTGTACACTTACCTGATGTTTTGCAGATCAGTCCTCCGAATGATTAAATTCATTTGGCGGCTATTGAGGCGGCTCTCACTTTTTGCAACACTACCGCTGTAGAATACGTTTATTGCATGTGTCAAAATTCCGGCAACGGACTTTTGATCCCTTTCATCACCTCCCCGGTGATCGTGCAGTATACATCCGGTACTTCAACTTTGTCGTCCCAGTTTTTAAAATGTTGCTGAATTTGGTCGTAATCGCGCAGCGAAAATGTTCAAAAGTCTTCACACTCCAATGAAAATTTAACAGTGCTTTAATCGACACGGAAGTTTTGATTTACTGGAACTGTTGACTTTGCTGTTGAGTTGAGGCTTATGAGTCCGAAATATCTGTGATTGGGATATTTAAAAAACTTCTAAGCTAAGCAATGAACGTCGTGCTTGAAACTTTACGCGTTGAAAACCAGAACAATCATAAACTGGCCGCGAACATCGCTACTTTGCCCAGAAATTTCCGTCGCGTCATCACAGTTCGCGTAAAATCCATTATATTCTAAAGTTCTTCGTTATCCGGCCAATCCCATCAGACTATTAGCTGGTTCCCACGAACAGATCCTTTGCCGTTGTCAGACAATTTATTAGACAGAAAATTAATCAGAGCAAACTCAAAAACTACAGCAGAAAACGATTTCTCAATTGCTGCTGGAACTCCCACGCTAAACCGGAAACAGTTATTTGGTCAGAAGTTGATATACGACAGATGGAAGTTCGCTGCTGCTCAATAAAAGGAGCCTGATTGATTCAATTCGGTATCATTCCAATAACTAGGGGACGTTGTAATAATCTAATTTCCTATGCAGTTAACAACCCAGTAATCGGTTCCCAGTTAAACCGTAATACCGTGGTTTTAGTTGCTAATATATCAGAATTCCAACCAAAAGCAGCCACAACACTGCGCCCTGTGGTTTCATAAAGCTGGCTACCACGGAATTTACAGTTATTTGTTGCTACTGCCTAAGAGTGAGTAGTGTAAAGCGTAGCACTTTCATCAGCCAACTCGTCCGGCCTAAAACTGGCTCCATTCTCAACGTCCATTTCCGATGGTCACAATTTATGTTAAACATTGAAATTTCTTTTTGAGGATGAAGCGCAAGCAGTTTTTCGACAAATGAACTTTTCGGACAGATTATAAGTTGTTATGTGAAATTAAAAGAAACACTAGGGAAGGTTTATCAGAGTGAACAAAATATTTTTCTTCTTGACTAGGGAAGGTTTATCAGAGTGAACAAAATATTTTTCTTCTTGGGAGGCAGAAGTCAAATACAGAGGCATCTTCATCAGCGTAGGTGGATAAATGCTGAAATAACATTTTTCCGAACTCTTAGGAGACAAAGAAAAAATAGGGATTCAACTTTGTTTATGAACCGAAAATATTCACACAAGGACGGCTTTGGACCAAAGTGACATCTCAGTAATTTAGTGGCATTGTATTTCGAATGGTCTGACAGTAGGTGGCAATGGTCAGTAGACAAAAGACCAGTTGAAATAACTGGACAATATAAGACCTTCAAAAGGAGAACCATGTTAGTGACCAGTCAGCTAAACCGGCGGGATCATCTTAACTACCAGGGAGTGTCAGTCTGGACAAGGCCGATGACTCGATTAGAACAATTGCTATTAGGGCGTTCTTACTGTGGAATCAAAAGGAGGATATTTGGAATCTTGCAGCGATCCAGAGCCTACAGAGGACGAGTGAAACTTCCGGCCGTTTCTAACCGTCACTTGTACGTAATCTCGGTAATATTTATTGGAAGAGCAACTTCATGGTGCTTTAGATCTGTTGTGACGATTGAGCTACATGTTGTCCCTCTTTTCAAGCTATCAGGAACTTTCGTGTAGTTTAGCCGTGATAATCCTACGGTATCCCCTGGTGGAAAAGTACACACCACCAAGTTGACAGCGCAAGACTCTGAGCTAGATTGATGAAAGGACACCCGGAGGGTTCGAGGAAATCGGAAATTTCCTACCGTTAATTCTAACGAGATTTTCTGAGGAAGTTAGAAGGAGGCAAAGTACAAATAAGCAAGCGCCTCTTACCGATAGCCTCCTAGAAGTTGGATATACAAGAATTGGTTGCCTTCCTTAAAGACGTATACAAAACATATTGCGCCAGTGAGGCAACATATAGGTACTACATGCTTTGTAGAGGAGACACAGACGGTGTACCTAGATAGTAAGATGTGGAGGAACATAGAGTTACTTCCGGACACTTCACTTCAGCATAAGCGTTTAATCTAAATATGACAAGAAAGCTTCGTAAGCAAGCACTATAATTCACGGTATATAAACGTTTTAGGCACCCCTGAGTGTAGAACACATTCAAGTGTTCAGAGAGACACGCAACCCATTTCAAGAGACCCCGTCGGCGATAAGTTAAGTGTACTGCCACAGTGTTCTGTCAACTGAAATTCAGCTAGAACTCTCATTGCACTGTTCTTCAACCGAATGCGCTTTATGAAGGCCGTCTCACGTTTCAGATGGAAAGATATTCCACATTCAGAGATGCTTTCCTTCATATGATACAACTCACAGGTTGACAGAAATTCTGAACAGCCGTTATTTAGGCCTGATAGAAGCTCGTCTGAAAACTGAAGTGCTGTTAAATGGAGACTCAACCGAATTCAACAAACCATCAGTGACTTGCTCTTAGTTGTCACGTCTCATCATACCATCTGTGGTTAAGTGAGGAATCTCTCAAAACTCTCCATTACTGAAAAGAACATGTGCGACTATTCCAATGGACTTCTTAGCTGATGGCCTGGCAAACCCCATTTAACTTCTAAAACGGTACCAAGCACAACTCATGGGCGGGGGGTTTTCGAAATAACGCCTGCAAAATGCTTTAAAGCACTGTGAAATAGACTTGTTACTCAACAGAATGCATCAAGGAGTGACTAGCTTTTCCACCATCATCATTTGCAATAGCACCAGAGAACATTGGTGACGCATTGTCATATAAGCATGTCAGATCATTTGAACAAAGCCTCAAAACGCAAGGAAAATTGGGTGGAATGGGAGAACTAAGGCCAGTCTACAACCTACGAGGTGCCTACACCTCCACCACTCAGTCAGACAATCTGGATAGAAGCTGACAGCATGAACGCCACTGACACCGGTTAGCCGTATCCTCGACCAAACACAGTGAGGGGAGTCCCATTCAAAAAGGCGAACAGAGACTAAACCAACCCAACCTTTCGCAACATTTTTCATTCACTCCTATCATATCATATTCTATCCACCTCTATGTTCCCACCACGAAACAGAACACGTTTTTGGGCGGGGTGTAACTCTGTACGCATAAATGCCTTTGTTCTATCCACCTCTATCTTCCCACCACGAAACAGAACACATTTTTGGGCGGGGTGTAACTCTGCACGCATAAAACGGCTGCCTTAGTTTACTGTGTTAGGCACTGAAGTATTGTCTGCTTACTCAAAAATGTATCTCCACATTCCGGATTTGCTGGTTCCAACCAATTCCAGCTATAGCTGTAAGGCATCGGTGGTCAAAGACCTGATGATATTTCATATCCTCCATCCGAAGTTACTAAGTCTCGCAGCCGTACAGCGATACAGCCCGCACTGTAGTAAATTGTACGCGTCCCCAATAGGTTCTGCAACCGTTCCGTACTCATCCGGGGCCCGCCCAAACACTAACCATGGCTTACCAACATAGTTTCCTGGACAATCGAAAACGCACGCATGGCGATCCCCCATCCTGCTACACACTGACAACGATCCAAACTCGTAATAAAGGATGTATGTAGAATTCTAATGCGCTTTCTGATGCAAACTAGGACTGGGAATGAGGAACGAAAGAAAATTCACAGTGGAAGAGCAAAATGAGAAAATAGTGCGTAGTGTCAGCCGAGTACAGGGTAGTAGGGATGACTGACAAAGTTCAAATGAGCTCTACGGTGCTTATGCGCGGAGATATCCGGGGAGGGGTGTGGGAAAGAGATCGAAAGAGTAGGAGATTCTCGTACAATGGCGCATTTTGGTACATATATAAACACAAATACAGCTGCAGTGTCTGAACTGCCCACTTGTCTTCGGCCTGTGTGCATCACATTAAAACAAAGTCGTTCAAACAGCTGGTGGTGTTTTCGGAGACCCGAAAGTACTCATGTATATCCTAGTTTATTAGCCTGGTAATATTGTTGTGAAGTTGACTACAAAGAGCGTTTTCGGAGTGAGCAGCGGGGTTTTTTCAATGTTTTCACTGTGAGTAGATTTAACACAACTGGTGCAAAACTGCGGTATTTGGACGGCGTTTACTGAAGCTGAGCTTACTGGAGAGCTCGCGGGAAGAACTGCAGAGCACAGGGAGCGAATAATGAAGGCCTAGTGTACAAGTCCACGGGGATGAAAGACAGTTTGTCTGGAGGCAGAGTGGGATGGGATTCGTGGATAAATGCGTATAAGTGTGGACACGGCAGAAAAAGTAATGGGGCAAGAGATTTTCTTTGGGTTGTGTATGAGTAAGTGGCAAAAATCGTGGAATTTTTGGGTGAACCCAGTTCACCTTTTGGGCGATTTGGAAGCGGCAATCGGAGCGATGTAGTTTGGCTCTAGTAGTCAGCTGCTTTTATTGATTCTGCCAGGTTGGATGACTGGAGATCCAGATCACATATAGCCGAACTGGAAAATGAGGAACAAATTTGATTTTAAAGGGTTCAACGACCGAAAGTGATCGGACATTAATAGAGCACAGAACTTATTGATGATAGCCTCAAATTTATTTTGTTTTTGTCAATCATGGGACATAATGGATCATCTACAGAGAAAGCGAAAAAAGATTGTTTCGTTGCGGTGGGCCCACAGCGGCACCAATAGAGCAATGAACATTCCATTCTGTGATCAAATTGCACTGAACTTCTGACCATTCGTTATGAAATTTTCCCTATCGTGCTCGCTCCAGACCACATGGATTAATCAAATTAAGACTGGAACACTGATTTCTCAGCACTGTTTTTCCGTTTTCCCACACTAGGAATAAGGATTTAGAAAACGTTAGTCAGAAACTCTACCATGCACATTGGTTTCTTATCCCCTCACATCCACCTTTCTGGTCTTCCCGAAGTACCACAGATGTAGAAAACAGGAGACGTTGCAGTGTTCCAGTTATCAAAAAAGATATGCCTCGGGAAGACATCGCTTAGTTCTCCAATGGTGATATCCACAATCCGGTGGAGTTCAGATAAAAACCAAGAAAAGCTGTTTGAGCTCAGAATGTGACAACTAAATGGTGCTGAAAAGCGATGCTCGACACGGCATGCTTTCCACTCACGCTTTCTTCAGAAGCCACCTAACCTGATAACCATACGTTTCTTACAAGGAAACGGAAAACGGCGAGAGCGTGTTCGGAGTGTAACTTCCTGAAAAATGCAGTTCTACGGAAAGGAGGAGTGCCTCGAATACGGGTTGGTCTTTTGGATCCTGCCGAAATACCTAAAACAACCGATATGATCCGACGGATGACACGTGATCATACGGATAGGAATACGAACACGTTTGCTTCCTAGTTAATTCGCTCCTGTTTTTCATGCTGCTGCAGATCCCAACACAGGATAGTAGGAAATCAAATTGAATAACTCTATCTACGACAAGCGATAAAACTGTTCCCGAGAGAAATTCGGTTACAAAATTATGCGGCTATTCACATTCGCCACGAGCAATTTCGGAAAGTGACCATTGGATTACCGGCCGGATCAAGTCTTTCTTGCATAAGTGACCCGCGTATTCTATACCGTCTCATAGTATTAAGGTAAGTGCTCTTACCGTTTCAAACCCCCCACCCCATCGAACCACAGATGATCCAAAGGTTGCACTCGTGTAACGACAATAACTCTATCGCATCGACTGTGACACCCGATTGTGATTGTATTTATCACAGCCTGAGTGTAAGCAGTTTGGAAAACGAAGAAATGATGGCAAGCCACGTAGACAACCAACTGCGGTTTGGCTCACCTGACTACTGTTTGGTCTTGCTGACTCTCTACGCGCCGCGGCAAACATGCGGCGCGCCATGTCCAAATCCTCCTCGGTATTGGGCGGGCTTATTCTCCGATGTTCAAACTATAAAAACAACAGAAGGTTGAAATCGTTTGGTGATTGCGCAGATTTAAGGAGGACGACAATATGGAAATGCTCGGTCACACTTACTTGTCCACCACCTGAACGGAAGCTCCCTTTGCGAAGGAATCCAAGGACATTACTGGCGGTTTCACGTAGAATACTGGATTGAGATCCTGTGTCCGGCTGTGGGCTCGGCTGTGGTACTGACAATTGATTTTTACTGCTGTTTGTCGGGCACAGTGAGAAAGAGGTGATCAAAACTGTTAATGTCGTACAAAAGCCTCCGAGGACGGTTCAAATTCAAAATAACTGAGTAGAAATAATGAGCAATAGAAGGACTTTTAAGCCTTTCCGTCAAAGAAAAATTGACACACAGATGTAGCATCTTCACTCTTGTATCGGTTGTGAAACACAAAGCATTCAGAGGGGAGGCTAACAATCTGTGCTTGGGTTACGGATGATTGAGGGCACTGTCACACTTCGCCACACCCTCTAAAAGAGAACGATGGCTATCAAGGACGTCAGGACAGTCGCACTGGGTCCTCAAACGATATCAGGCAGCCAAAAATACTAAAAATTAATAATGCTGCATTCATTATGTAGCTACCAGTGAACTCAGCGGCCACGTAACTAGACAGCAACCTAAACCGTAGACTTTCATGTCATGCTCGTTAGTGATAATCTGACAAGTACCTCGAAGACTCGCTTTATGAATTTCAAACGCCTTTTGTACGTTGAATGGTAAAACGATTGCCTGAGAAACGACACAACTAGCCTGATAAGTTGTGTTGGTAAAAGCGAATGAACTTGTCAGAAGTGCCACTAAGGACGAAGAATGTTTATCTCAAGCTTTTCAGCTGGTGGCCAGTCTTGATTGCATGACTAATTCACATACATGTCGTAAAAAGCCGTTGATAGTTTTATGCCTCCTCCCATATATGAGTTCGCTGGGCTGTTGAATTAGCCGGGCCATACTTTTCGTGACTATTCGCATTGTGTGATTTGATTGTTTATTGGTTCTCTCTGAGGGCGTGAATGATGATTACCAAGTCATGGATCAATATTCAGTGAAAACCATTTTTAAAATATAGGTGGAATACTCCGAGATGTGGTCTTTACAGAGTGGAAGAAACGTGTATGAATCACGCAGATGAAATCTTCAATGAATTTATTAAAACAATTGTTCATTCATTCCACTGTCCGGATGCCTGACTGGTGCAAGAACGCAAAGAAGCCCGGCGCAAGAGTTTCGCATCCTGGTCTCTGTTGAGGTGATAGTTAGCTCCACTGACAGTGTTCCTTTAGGTGGGAGGGCAAATTTTATGACTACTCTCACGGGATGGAGTGAGCTGCCGTGGATATTAGTAGTCAAATGGCGGTTGGCTTTCTTTATCAAAACGCGTACCTGAGTTGGCACGCTTGTTACTTCATGAAGGGGGCTACTGCATTACCATATAAGACACTGTTCACACGTACTTTCGCTTGCTATAAGAGATATACGCACCGTAGTTCCGAATTGGGTGTTGCACAAATTGTTTTTGGTGACAGAATTAGGCTGTTATCGTCAACAGGTGTCCTAGACTGGATAGTCAGACTCCTCTTGCCGGTGTTTTTCCCCAATCGGGTGACGCTAAGATACCTGCAACTGCCCGGCTTTCCGGCACGGTGGAAACTGGACAACGATGACCTATCCAATTCGTAGTGTGTTCATAAAACTTTATCCACCGTGTCTGCTGATTGGATGACATTCAATTGCTTCTATTCTCACCGCACTGAACTATCCACACATATCTACAGACGTGATACATTGCATTATGAGACACGATACTTCTGGAGGAGACGCTACTAATGTAACGGTGGATACTACTGATGAGGAATGCGAGTAGCGTTTTCTCGTATATCTGCTTTGTGTCTCTTGAAAAGTGAGATCTATTACGGAATTTGTGGAGTCACTTTGTAGCATTTGCTTGTATTTGACCAATAGTCAGTGAATATGCAGGAACGTTCAGGAAGACGCGTTCAAAGAGAAGATGGATATTCAGTTTTGTAAACAAGATACATATGAGAGTTTTGCTCCCCTGTCCAATAGTCGTGGCCTGCCAGCAAAGGCAAAAAAGTGCTTACCACACATTTGCCAATTCCTAATACAGGCCTGAGTTAGCTCGCTCGGAGAGCTATATACCGGACAGGTGAGGGGCCAAGGCTCGTATCTTGTTGGATGTCATACACATTCATAGGTAATGCTAAATCCTGTACTGCTGTGCCTGAGGCCTTCCGGAGGTTGCGAACCGTGCATTTATGGCTGTTGATCGCGCAACAATTAGATTTGTTCATGTCTACCCAGTGTGCCTAAAATCTACGGCGATGTGCGGTTGTAAGTTCACACTGGCTAGGATGACAAAGACATAGATCCGAGCATATCATCATCATTGTCAGCTGTAATAACCACGTACTCGTCGTACTGTGATTGTAGCTGCCGCAGTTTCGTTCACCGATGGTTTGGGGGGAGGGGTGGATAGCTGCGCGTTGCAGGCGGAAGCTGATAAATTGGTGCATAAATCCAGCACTGTCAGTGGGCTGTCAAATGGTGAGGGGGTTGGAAAAGAAGCTATGCATTGAAGGCAATAGCTTGGATGCACCAGCGCCATTGAGGGCGCGACTGGGCCATATCTGACAATGTCTCTAGCCATTGATGTGGCCCGTCTCGGGGTCCCCATCCAGGAAGACGGCAATGACCAGCGCAGCTGAGTTTGCTGGTAATGGCTTTCATACTTCGCTGCCAAGTCATTGGTTGACCGCCTCTGACTCTCTTCCACTCTTCACGTGGTTGTGCGGAAAGAGCCCTTCGAGGAAGTCGGTCGACTGGCATACGCGACACATGGCCAAGTCAGCGCAACCTGTGCAGTGTGATCAGTTCATCTATCGAGGGTGAGTTATTTCTCCCAAATACCGTTCGACGTACTTCAGAATTGCTGATCCGGTGTTCCCACCAGATTCGGGCAATGCTCCGAATACATCGATGATCAAACACTGAAAGTCTTTTGACGTCCTCGGCATATCAGATACATGGTGTTCAAAATCCGGCATCACCAAGGGTATGATTTACTACTGAGCTCTAGTAGGATTGGTACTAAAAATAAATCCGTCCTGTACTTGCTGCGGACTAGTCAAAGTAATTGCTTTAGAACGGTGGACGGGAAAAACGGATGGTCACTCGGAGGATGTACAGCTGCACAGTGGTTATTCAACTCCCATCCTCTTTGCTTAGCGGGCGACCAGGTTTAAAGGCAGAACTTCCCTGTTCACAATGCTTCAATCATGAAAAGGATTTTACACCCATTGACATGACCTCGAAAACACCAGATGTGAAATCGACAAAGGCAAAGAACTTGAAAGGGCCAACGGATATCATTTCTCCACAATATCTATGCTGCTCCTGTAGACTAAAATACTCACTTCTTGATTACTAAAATCCTAAATTGATTTGTTCGTTTCCAGCACTGATGTATTGCGCTTCTAAGGTAGTGAGCAGGTGTTGTCAGCGTTTGGCTATTCCCGATCATAAATCATTCAGGATGGCTATTCTCCAACTAACAATCAGAATTTTTCCATCGATCCAACCATGCCCACTGCTCTCTCGATGAACGGTAAGGCAGGGATACTAGTGAAGACCGAGCAGAGTGAAACAACACTGAGATGTCGACCTGTAAGACGTAGAGAATACGCCCGATGCAAATGTTTTTACTAAGAATTAACTACTGAATTTAAATCACAGTAGTAAGTTCGTAACTCGGGATGAACCCTCGGACAGTGTCACCGGTGTCCCCTTAGCGTTTCAGATCGCCAACCCAAGAGTATGCGCAACGATGACGGTCCAAGAATCTCGAATAAACCCAACAATGAAAAAAATCGTCCGAATTCCCAGTCTCAGAGGTTCCCTTCAATCCGGCAGCATTCAGTACTTGCAATAAAATGGAACGGTAACAAAGGAAGTCACTGATCGTGGCCTGCGAGGGACCGTCTTCTTTATGAGTGGTAGCCGGGAGCACACTCAAGCACGATGCTTCTGGCGATCACTTTTTATGCGAGCTAGTTTGTGAAACAAACAATGTTCTAAGCCATTGTAAACAAACTAGTCACGATACAACCCGTGAACATCGAGTCAACGACGAAGGAGGGACAATAAAAAGCCTCTCTCGCACTCATTTGTCAAGCTACGGCAGGGTGACGGACAGTGGTTGCACTAAGAATGATCCTTTTGAAGTTAATCCTCCATCTAGAAGGCCCAAAACAGCCTCGTCCAGTAGCCAGGATCAAGCTTGCCCCTAGAAGAGAAGCCACCTTTGGTGGTCTCGCCTGGTCAAGAACAGTGTAAGTATATCAGACCGACGGTGTGCAGTTAGAAACCCGCGGCACCGCATGGAAGACAGTGAAAACAAATTAGCAAAACATCCTCCAGCTAATGTGGAGGGTATCGTTTGAATAGCTATCTTAATGTATAGGCAGATCACAGAAGGATTTTCTCAAAGCGATCATGACATATAAGACAGTTAGGCTTTTGTTTATGTTGTTCCCGACAGCGTGAAATACGGAGAATGTTCTCAGTATGGTTATTTCTAAGTTTTTAAAGAAACCCTAACTTTATAAGTGTGAGGATAATAAAATTTAAAGTGTGAACCAGCTTATATGATCACAACAAGCCAACCAGTCATACTGTTCGCAATTTTGTATGCAGTAGACCCTGAAGACAAGATATCAGGCTTCTGCACGTGAGATTATCTCCCTTCTGTTTGGCCTCACTATAAACGTTGCCTGATGGGGATCACCTGTTTACTCTTCGGGTGGGTAGCCTTTGTTCGAATGGAGACCCGTTGGGCTACAGAATATGCGTAAAGTGAAGGGGGTGTTGGCCACACGCATAGGGGACTGAAAAGTTTCAACACCACTGGACTCGTGGAAAAAGTACGCTCAAAAGCACGAACATAACAAAAACTGGGATGAAACAAACGTGAAGGTAGCTCAGACAGAACTAAAATACTACCTTATCCAGGCTCACATCACTCGGTATCCAAACCGCCTGTCAGTTCAGGCGTCACCGATTGGAAAGCAAACCGAACAGAATTGACGGTTTTGATTCATGCTGTTTCTAATAAACATATTCGTGAACACTTCACAAAAAATCAACCTATGGGAACCGGTTAACATGCTGAAACACAAATGGAAAGACACAAATGGTATCCATAATCATAAACATTACATTTGCCTGGATCCAACACGCAGAAGTCGAAGCAGTTCATGCGAGGTGAACATTGGCATTGAACTAGAGTGTACATGCGCAAACCGACTATCCTGGACATGCGACCAGGGTGACCGGTCTCGATCTAGTCTGATACCATCCTTAGTCACTCGGGTATGGCGTTGCCTCGGTGGTGGCCGTATTGTTTCTCTGTGTGAAGAAGACCTCGGCCAATCGAGTCCATTGTCTGCACCAGGCAGCATGTTGAACCTCTCTGAATGCAACGAATCAGGTGGGATTGAAGAGAGTCTCCGGATCGATATACGCTGGTGTGTTTTTCGTGCCTGTTCAGACAGACTGCTAATAGGATCATAGAATACGTTGATAACCCAATAAGCATGCGTGATACAAGGTCATGCAAACAGAACAATGGTTATGTATTAAAAAAAGTTCCTCTAATTCATGCGGATTTTAAACATTCTACTTGACTCAGCGCACACTGCCTCCACAAAATGTCTCAACGTCAAATCCGGTCAAACTAAGCTGCAGCTGAATCTCACTGAATTCCAACCTTAGCTCAAATACCAGAAGCTTGCGTCATCATTTCAGCGCCTATGCGAATGTAATGAAGATCGAAAGATGGCATCCGCCAACACATTAGAAACTGTGACGCTCTGATTTTTAGGGTACCGCATCTTGAGGACAGCTCGAGGGTCAGATTTGTCCATCACACACTCACTTCCTACTAAAAGCCACCCGAATGGAGACAAGTATCAAATGTAATGAAGATCGAAAGATGGCATCCGTCAACACATTAGAAACTGTGACGCTCTCATGTTTAGGGTACTGCATCTTGAGGACAACTCGAGGGTCAGATTTGTTCATCACACACTCACTCCCTACTAAAAGCCACCCGAGTGGAGACAAGTATCGAACAAGAGACCAATAGTAATAGGGAGCAAGCCACCCAGTTGGATGTTAAACGGCAATATTGTCGGTCCCTTCAACACTCTGATGAGTGTGACTATAACGGTCAGCCGACGGAATTTTGTGGTTCTTTCAAGATTACCTCTTAAGTGTCCGGGAATGTATGACCATTCCTTCTCATCCATGTGCTTAAACAATAAGTGTATTGTCAAATAAACATACAAGTGCGTAGTGAGGGTACTATGTTATCATTTAACTAGCTGCGTCATTCAATGAAGAAACATGCAAACAATGAAGACAATGCAGTGTAATCCCTACTCGCATGCAAGAGGCAGAGGGAACCAGAGATGAACCAGTAACACTCACCGTGCAGCCTCAGCCTCCTTCTCTTTCTCCAACAATGCCATGACCGCAGGATGAGCTGTCTGGCCAGGTTGAGCAGGAAAACCAAAGTTGTTCATCCGACCACCACCTCCATTCACATGATTGATTTCCAAGCCTTGACCATTCATGAGAGGAACACGGTAGCCCCCACCAATCAGAAGATCTTGCTTGTCCGGGTCACGTTTGCTCGAGCGACGGCGAGTCCACTCGGTCAAGGTGCGACCAAATATACCACCGGCAGTATCGCGCTAACGGGTGGAACAAGTCGGGTTGAATCAGACAGCAAATGCGTTGTTGTTTACAGTTTTGTGACATTTACAGATACACAACATAAATCGACGGGTTAATGGACAGGCATTCAACGAGACGGGTCGATCGGGATCCCCTTTGCAGCTCAAAAGTAAGGACTTCAAATTTTCTGCATTTGGGGACGCCCAAGTGTGACCCAAAATAAAGCTAGTTCAGAGTCTCGATTAGGATGCATTTCATAGTGTCTTTTTAATATTTCAGATATCGCCATCTCTCCGAAAACAATGTGCACCATGTATGGATTTACAAACACTTTGAAAGATGATTCTTGCTGGTCAAAAAAGTCAGGAAACGCTTTGCGTGTCAGGAAGCAATCGCTCAGTCGCCCTAGCTTCGTTTCATTATGCAATCATTCGAAATGGTGGTGCTAGACCGCTTTAAGGGGGAATTACTAGCCTTACTTTTTGGATTCGTTAACACTGCCAAGGCATTGAGAGGCGGAACGCTAGGCAAACACGTGTTTTGAGTGATTTATCTTTTGGCGGGTAGTGATCACACATGGATCAATTACAGTGAGACAAACGTAGGGGTAGTCAAGATACAATTAATAGTCAGGGGTATGTGGGAGATATGGTCTGGAGTGTGTTGTTAGTTAGGAGGTGAACACTGGGCCAGTTCGGCTGAAGGGATTGAAAAAATCTCCACTGTGAACGAGATTCGGGAGAGTCGGAGGGCAACAGTCCCAGAAAATGCGAGATTATGTAATCTGATCGGTTTTCTGGCACCCGGTACATGATCCCCGATCCAGTGTCCTGATCAGCGACGTGCACCTTATCGACCAGGTAGGCTAAAATAGAACTTTGGTTCCAGTGGCGAGCTACTTTGGGCGGTGTTCTCTGGTCCGCTTGGACAAGTGATGGGCCGTACGACCTACACTTGTGCCCACTCGAATTCATAAAGAATCATCGCGGATGTCAGCAGTGGCAGTTCGCCTCTATTTTGTACGCGCGCAAAAGGACAACATGGCTAGCACGCGGCTCTTCCTGTCCCTATAACTCTTTTACCGTAACTGGCTCACTTGCGCCCACACATGATATGTATGTATCGACCAGAAGATGAATCACTGAAAACAATTTATCGCCTAACGATCCCATTTCCAACATCCAGGCATTCACGATGAGAAATTTGATCTAAATCAGGTAGCTTTCTGCAAAACATTCCTACTTACCTTGTCCGCACCCCGACGACGCTGAATCTCGTCACCTGTCAAGTCTGAGGAACAACGTCTCGGGAATCCTACAATAGTGGGTTGGTGAGGCATAGCGCGATCGCCGGCCTGTGAAAGAAAAGAAGCGATGACAGGTACATTGTTTTCGACCAACACATGGCTCCCAAAAAGGTGGGATTCAGTATCCACAGTTGTAAACCATTGTCTAATACTTACCATTATTTGTGGAATATAACGAGTGTCTTTTTGTATCATTTTCTTTTTCTGCCATTCCCGGAACCAGTTTTGTATGAGGAAGGTTGCGTAGAATTTGCCGACCGTCACGACGTCACTACCTGAATGAATGAAAGGCGGAAAAAGAAATTGTACTGTAATTATTCGAAGCGCTAGAAGCCTAGCATCATAGCCTGACCAGTGCTGGGATAGATTAGCGGTCCGTAGTTGAAGATGTTGGTTGGTGTCCACTGGAATCCGTAATCTTTCAGCTCGGGACAAGTCAATTTCTAGACAGACCATTGTGGAAAGTCAAATTAACCTGAAAGAAGACGATAGTACTAAACGCTGTCCATCAAGCAGATCCACCTGATGTGCACTCGCCTAACTGGATTTCATGGCCAGATAGCCCCCCTCCCTGGAATTACAGCACGACAAACAGGTGAACACATTCACTTGTTCAAACTTGATTATTCAGGAGCATCCAGCGTGTGTTGATGGGGTGATGTTAACATGCTCGCATCGCGTGTCACATATCCGCAGTTCAGATCCCACCATGGCCAAGGACATGTACTGCTGCCGAGTTTAGACCTTCCCCTTGGTGCGGACCAACCAGAGTTACAGCGGGACTGACCCAAGGCGAGTGACGTGGACGGGAATTTCAGTGACTCATGGCCAAGGACATGTACTGCTGCCGAGTCTAGACCTTCCCCTTGGTGTGGACCAACCAGAGCTACAGCGGGACTGACCCAACGCGAGTGACGTGGACGGGAATTTCAATGACCCCACGCATGCTTTTATGGCCATTCCACCGAAAATACCTCCCATTTCAAAAAAGTCTACCATCACCGTATATTCGGGTGATGAACCTAAATCCTATAAAAAGCAAGGTAAACAGGAAAGGACTGTAAATAAGTAACATGCACATATCTGTAATCCTTCGGACCTGTCAAGCTGGTGTGTCTGTTTTTGGAACGAAATTTGGGGTCAAGGAAGGTCTGTTGATGGCAGAACACCTTAAGGATGTACAGCTATCTCAGTCTTGTTGGGAGTCATGAGCATGTCACATTTCACAGATCTCTTGAATTGAATACTACTTCATTCGGCCACCAGTGGGTGATCGTCTGTGTGAATAACTCTCCTGATCAACTACAGATCATAAGACATGCACTCGCCAAAAGCTAGTTAGGGCAAAGGTGTTCTAAGGAGTATCTGTTTTTTTATTCGGACTCTCATTAACTAAGATAGCTTGTAGCTGGTCACAAAAGCAACAGCAGTTGCGAAACCGGTAACAAATCAATCGATTCGAAAACAGGAGAACTGTCCCATGAAACACTACTGTAATAACATTTTCCATGACCCTACTTGTTTTCGTATTATTTTGATAACCTAAGGATAAAAATGCCACAACGATAGTGGCCAGTAAACGTTCAAAATCCTCAAGGGCATATGAATTCCAGGGTTGTACCGCGTGACCCACAGGTTCAAACTACTGTAGCAACTTGGAGTATAAGAACTAGTTTGTAATTTCGAATGAGCACAGCTGTTCTCCAAGTTATCTGAACTGCCGTGGAGTGTAAAGTGGATCATCGTTCATTATGGCTCCGTAAAGTAACCATTGTTACTATGCTGATGACGCCAATCAACGCCTAATCGGCGTAAAAAAAAATGCGCTCAACACGGATGGCAAGAAACGATCCAAAATATGGGTATGCAGGGGTGCGACAAACACTGAACGTGTAACTTCACACTACGGCATTTGCTACCTCGGCCCGCCATGTTCACACCACAAGCCGAAAAGTCCACTCAATTTTTCCGACTATCCAATCCGTGCGCCGCGTTGTCACCGGAATGTGCTCACGTACGCACCTGCGTCCGACGCACGTATCACTGCGTGGGAAACGACGGACATCGCTTGCACCTCGGGTTTATGTGGCAGGCGAGTGAAGATCATGAGCCCAGTACTCCTCGACGCAACTGAGTCAGATGATCCGGGGTGCACGACACACCACTAGGAAGTGATTGGATAGACAAGGCGATGGAGCTCCAATAGGCGGAACGCTGAGTTGACGGTGAGAATGCACGGACAGGTGTGAGTGATGAAACCTATCAAAACTCAGCAACCGAACGGGATGATTATCGGTGTTCTTCGCGTGTAGCCAGGACGCGACCGTGAACCGGCACTGGCAGGACGGAGAGTTTGCCTTGGAACTTCGGTCGCATGTAAGCGGCATGACTCACATAACCTTGTCAATTGCACCGTTAGTCAGTACAGATATTCAGTGAAACCAACTCAAGCCATGCTTAGGGTTCGGATCCCTATTCTCCCAAACTCCTCACGCTTGGCCAATCCTCGTTGAACCTCTCTTGACCCACTCGTGTCAAATTAGTTGGAGCTAGCGCACTATCGCTGTCATTCCCGAGGTGGTTTTTTTCCTATTGACTTCCATAAAACGTTTTCGCCAAAATTCGACCGCCATTCCCTCAATCTCCCTGCTCTCAGTCGACGAAACTTCATCAGTGTAAGCTACTCGATCTTGGTACAACTGACTCACCAGCAGCGGGCTATTGGTCTACTCTCCTGATATTAAACTCCACGTAAAAGTAAGGTTGACAAATGTTCAAAAGCTAGTAAGACGACCTCTGCTACTTTAGAGTACAAGAACGTTGAATCAGATGGAGGAACGTTCTTTCTGTATGCTGTACAGAGTAAATGAAATTCAAATTCAGGGACTGAACGAGTATACCGTGATTTTGTGAGTCGTGATCTGCAGCGAAAAGGATAATGCCCACCAATCGTCTGTTTCCCTGGCTTTAATCAGTGTTCAGCTATGCCCTCTGAGAGAGACAAACGTGCTTACGACCTAGAAATTTCTACTTAAGGCTTCTTATCTCGGCCATCGACGCCAAGACTTCGTTTTTTTCGGAATGCCCAGTGTCAACCGCCACCAAGGCTTGTCCGGTAGCAGTAGACAAGAGGGCAAACCCCTACCGTTAGATTGAACGTGAGATTGAATGACCAGCTGAAGTTTCGTGTTTTCTTTTCTGTCCATATCAAGGAGATGATGACGCTACAAAATCTTACGCAGAGGCTAAAAAAAGTCTTTACCTGACATTACGATAATCATCTTTAGTCCGAATTTCGGTCGACGTCTGGTTGGCCAATTCCACCAACAACTGTCAATTATTTTCATAGAGGAAACTACTCACAATGTTGCTGAAACTCTTCGACAGCCCACGACCGGTTTCGCCCTTCTTGGGGCTCATCGGGTAGGCGCAGTCCCCGAGTTTCCGTCAACCTTATGTTCTACTTGAACCCAAATTGGACTGTTTTCGAGAAATACACTCATTTGCAAATCAATTTGGTTTTCACAAGAGACTCAACTGAATCTCTCGTTTATGGTATTCTACAACTGAATCTGGCGCACACAGGCCGCATCATGATTCAGTTGGCAGATATTCGAGATATCGCAGTATATTTTCATAAAGGAGACTGATGAGCCCCAAGAAGGGCGAAATTGGTTGTGGGCTATCGAAGAGTTTTCAGCAACCTTTGAGTAGTTTCCTTTATGAAAAAATACTGCGATATCTCGAATATCGTGCCAACTGAATCGTGAGGCGGCCTGTTGTAGAATATGATAAACGAGAGATTCACTTGGGTCTCCCGTGAAAACCAAATTGGTTTTCAAATGAGTATATTTCTCGGTCTCTAGTTCATTTTAAAAGCTGAATAGATAACGTCACCCAGGATTGGACCAATCAGACATTCTGCACCGTAGACGAAATGTGACGCAGATAAAAACCGCTATTTGTACAGTCGCCCGCCTGTGACGTTCTTGGTGCTCTGTTTTTTTCATTTGTCTTGCGCAACAAGTGTTGAATCGGTATCCGCAATGAAGTCGTCTGCAAGTTTCCGGTATAATTATTTTCTTTCACACCCAACTGGTCTTTTGTAGATTGTGCCGTAAAATCCTGGGCCCATGGGCGAAATGTATGCTGCCAAGTTGTGTTTTCTTTTACATTCTGAGTGGTTGGTAGCGAGATTGCGTTATCCATTCAAGACTGGTCGACATGGCGAGATGGCTCAAGTGGTTAGAACGCGAATTTACTGACCGGAAGGTCTGTGGTTCGAACCCGACCTCTGCCTCTCGACCTCCCCTGTCTAGGTTTGAGCAATCTGGCAGTATCCCGGCCCTCGTTCTTCCTTCTGGTGGCATGGCAGCTAGGCACCGAAAGGGTGTTACAGCTGACTGGTTATCTTATTTATTTTACAGCACCTGTACTGCACTACTGTGCATCCGTGTCAGCCAGTTCAACAATATAAAAGCTGTGGAAAAATACGCAAAAATCACTTGATAAAAAGTACTATGTTTTCAGGGCAGACTTCCTTTCTTGCCAGTGAAATGGGGAAAGTCATCAGTTCGCGGTCGCGCTTGGACTGCGCAAGAAGACCACCGTTTGGTTAGCGGGACAGGCAAAGCTACGCCATTCATGCTTGTCCGTCCGCGCTCACCGCCACCGCAGCACAGCCTAACTGGAGACTGATCTGTCTGTCTATCCAACACCCGACTTAATAAGATAGGATGCACCGTGCGCTCCCCCCCCCTCCCGATCGTTTGATTCAGTTGCACCAGTGGGCGGTCGTACCTAATGGACCTGATGGACAGGGGCATTGAGCCAATGATCTGCACGTGTCTGTCACACTCCACGAGATGGGGAGAGAGCGGTATCCGTCTATTCATATGCATGTGTCAGACACAGGTGCACCCGTGAACACAATCAGGCGAAAATGCGACAAACGGATTGGATGGTCGGAAAACTGAGCGCACCACTCGGGCTTTGAAGTTACGGTTGAGTCCCATGACGGTGCCAGCGATTGACACCAGAGGGAAAAGTGACAGCTGGACGACGAGAACGCACCAGGTGTTGTCAACCGATGGAGTGAAATTAGACTGGTAACATCTCCGCGGACTCCTGTCAGTGCGATGCAATGTGGCGCTCGTCTTGGTTCTTATGACCGTTCTCATAGGCGTTTTCTTGTACGTCCATGCCTACAGTCAGCGTGTGACATGCGTTACAGCTAAACTGGGTGGTTTTTCTGGTACAACGTGATTGCAAGAGTTGGGTCTAGTGAAGGTCTGTGTCCACGGGCCTGAAGAAACACTATTTGTGTAGCTTGTGGAAAGTGTCAGTTCGGCCCGCAAGGTCATAACATAAACTACTTATAAGCAAACGCATTTCAAGTACAAAATGAACTACCTTTTGGTGGGATAATCTGGTCGAGTAACTTGGGGCTCGTTCGTTTCCATATCCGTTTGATTACCAGACGCAGTTCTTCATTCAACTGATCCAACGATTTGTCTTTTTCTTTGTCCTCTGGAATTTGATACGTAGATAATATGCAAAACCATTGTGGAGGTGGTAGGTTTAAGTGAAATCTGGCCACTAAGGACAAATGATTCTCCAAACATGTACAAACTGAAGCATCACACCTGAGCTTATGAACAGACAAACAAAGCCGGGATGATTTGACCTGGAGAAAGCATTTGATATGCAACGGTGTGGCTCCTCAAGAAGAGCGTGAATTTGAGGGCCAGTTGAAACAGCAGACCAGTTGGTTGCTGATCAGGTGGCTGTTGATCTGTTCGCCGAGCTTGGCAATTGGCTTGTAAACGTTTCGTCATCAAACGAGGAGACATCATCAGTACTCAGTTGGGTGAGATCAACACTTTACAAACAGCAGACCAAACTAACAGTAGTACTAGTTAGTCCAGTGATTGAATCCCTAGTGGATCCATATCGACGGTATCACCAGAAAAAAGAGGCTGAAAGATCAAAAAGTGGAATTTCGCATCCGGATTCCCTTCGCCAATACAGAACGATCAAAGTGGATGGCCGACAACCGTTGATCGTTAGTTTGATTTCACGATGAACAGCTGACCAGACAGCAAACCCATGCAAGCAACTAGGAGACAGATGAACAAATTGACACATAGACATACAAGCGCCTCATCTGCAGAGTGACGTACCACCAGGGATTTTGATCTTTAGATTTCTCCGAACCAATGCGAATAAAGTGGCGTTGAAAAATACGGTACCATCACTGTTCAATGGCATATTCATCCGGACCAATTTCTATACAGAAGTGGAGGAAGAGGGGAAAATAACCGAGAACAAGTCAAGCGTGCATCGACAGTACAGCTACAGTGTGTGTTCAGACAACATCAGTTATATAACAAGGACGGTTAGTGTTTTCACTCACATGCTTGAAAGCCATCACATGATACTACGACTGTGTTGCCCGAGATATGCCCAAGTTCGGTGAAAAACTCGGTAGACTGGATAGAAACGGTTTCTCAAATCGGTTGTGTGTGTAGCCTGGTAATCCTACACTAGTGTTTTGATCTGGGGTGTAAGTGCTTCGGTACCTCGGGTATAAATTTAAAACGGTCGAACTCGCTGGAACTTGCTGTGGTGCACTCATGAAGAATGGTCATCGTTACACTCACATACGTCTATCAATAACCCTCACCTTCCGACGTCCTAAAGTTCCAACCAGGCTCAGTGGATGGAGTTCGAGCTTATCATGTTGAGCAGAATTGTCGGTGGCTCGATGGCTAGTCAACCTTAGAGAGTACATCCGCAGTCAGCTTGCGACCAGTTGGACGTTGGGTTGTCACTAAAAACCCGCTGATTTTGAAACGGAGATGATCAGACAACCGTGACTGAATCTATGTAGTGTTATAGCAGAGACGAAAAGTGGAAGTCAGTCCAATTATCGAATATACACTCATTTGCAAAACAGTTTGGTTTTACGAGAGACTGGAAACATCACAAACGAGAGATTCAGCTGGGTTCCAGATGAGTCTCTCGCAAAACCAAATTAGTTTGCAACTGAGCGTATATTAGCTAATTTCGTGCAATTTAGTTTCAAGTAGATTATAAGGTTGACGGAAACCCGGGGACTGCGCCTTCCTGATGAGCCCCAAGAAGGGCGAAAACGGTCGCGGGCTGTCGGCGGATCTCAGCAACCTTATGAGTAGTGCATTACAAATGAATCCAATTATGTCCAAACTGACTGGGATGGAAGCAAGTGCTGTCAGTACGAGATTCGCCGACTCCCAGATACACAGTGTGCTCCGGCAAGAATGCACTCATGGATCCTCCACAAAGTGGAGCTCGGCGGGACGCAAAAATACTTGCAACACTTGAGCGTAAGGAAAATAACATAAATATGGAAGCCTGAAAATCTCCCCACGTGTCTATTCCAAAAACGCTACACTTTCTGTACAATTCTGCAGAAGAAATTGACAAAGTTATCAACGAAACTGAGGTACATCATTCTCATAGTAATCGGTAACTGCCTCGTAAAACTGAAATCGCATCAGTAGCGTAGATTTAGCGCCACGTACCGCTCCTCAGCGTGGAACAAGTGATGCACTGTTACGCTCATTGTCCTAACAACACACCGATGATGTCTTCATGACGGGAGATGGAACTTTTACTATTGAACTGCCTAAACCAGCTAACGACCGACCATTCACAAAAGTCTCCAATAATGGATGTCCCATCTCCAAAGATATTTTGGTTCATTCGTTTACGGATCTTATTAGAAAGGTCTTACTGTGTATATGTACTGTGGCAAGGATTTCGGGTGGATAGAGACTGTCCTATAGTGTGTGTATGTGTGTGTGCTCGATCGTTGGGCTATGGGATACAGGGTATCACACTGCTGAGAATACGTCCAACCTTGTTTGAATTGATACCACACATATTAAACGCAAGAGGGAAAATGGTCACATGATGTCTACACCTCTAGAAGCAAGTGGTTCAGACTTACATGACAAGCTCTCGTGTGTGGGCACATGCTTCCGAATCCGAGAGGAGGACTTATTTTTCCCAACATCGTTACGACATCCAAGTGTCGAACTCGGCCCCTGAAGAAGAGGAATAGGAGAATGTGGATATAGCAGCGTTCTATATGACAGTCAGTTTCATTCAACGGTGCGTTGTTCATGCATAGTGTAGTTCTAACCACGTAACTAAGATGGAATATAAACCTAATGAACTTCAAAATGAATCACCCTATTGGAACAGTCGCACGATACACCAACCACTTAGGAAGTGTGCACGTTGATGGTAAGCCAAGTTCCTTAGGTCAGCAATTCAAAGGTAAAAACCGCCACATAAAACCTTCAAAACAAGGCTTCATTCTATACACGAAGTCAGTTTATTCCATGAAACCGAAAAATGTTGTGACTGTCAAGCAAGCTCATATTATTATGTTGCTCCAGAGGCGTACCGATCCACACTGCATGCTCGACACAGGGTTGTACACAATTACACAAAGGTTGTATCGTATTTACTCAACAGGCAACGGTAACTGCATCCACACTGTTATACAACAAAATTTAGTCTCCTTATAATCCTGGCCTGGTCAGAGCAACAAACACTGTACGGCTGTTTCATCTTTGTTAGGAACCATCACCGTTGCGCACCTCACGGCTATGCGAGAGGATTGGAGCTCAGGACTTCCGTGTCAGTAGTTGGAGATCATCGCGTTCAGGTACCTGTCCATCAGTGCAAACAGACTACACTTCGGCATTGCTATCCACTCAGCTAACTTCAAGTGAGCGACTCTCCGAGTGAGGACTTTGTGGGAACCGACATCGTCAGGATGAAATATCCAGTGACAATGGTGACGCCACATGTTTGATTATCAGAGCTGAAGTCCGATGAAGTCTCTCCTTTATGAACTCAAAGGTTGCCATCAGGGGACTTTCACCAGTTGGAGGTATCTGGAAGACTTGTTTTCGGCTAGTATTCGTCTAAGTCCATGTTCGAAACACGGTCACTGAGATTGGACACTATCTTTGCAACGTGGTTTGATGGACACATTCGATGTATTAAGACAGCCAACTGAAGCAGGCACGAGCACGAGTTAGCACATCATCTCTTATTGGCTGTGTCAACTTTGTGAAAAGTGCTCTTGATTTGCACACACTATCGGATTCACGGCTTGATTATGTCGGAGCATCGTCACCTATCTTCACCGTTTGTAGACTAGAATTGCACTCAACATCCAATAGTTCAGCTACGGGGAGTTTCTATTCCAACAGACGGGTGAATTCGACCCCATAAAACTCATCCACGAGAAGATGTGCCTAAATAGCGTAAGCCTGTTCACTGATCATCGCGAGTAGCGTACAAGTTCAATCCTACTTTACACATACTTGGCTTCCGGATCATAGTCGGCCCACTTTGTGACAAACTCATCCAGATGGTGGGGTCCCAGAATAGACCAATCTCGAGTTAAGTAATCGAAATTGTCCATGATAACAGCCACGAACAGATTGATCACCTGTATCGAAAGAAGTAAAAATACGGTCAGTTTTAGAAAGTAGTAGATTGAAGATCTTGCTATCAGATAACCACAAAAGTAAAACATCAGATCGTCGATTATCTCAGTTGTTTGCGGAGAATTCAGGCAGCAATTTGTTTCATCCGGGTACGGGGCTTGTAGCGACCCAGTCACCCACATACTTGACTGTTCAACTCACAGTCGCTCACTGGATCGCGAGGCTTGTCTATTTTCTCATACGCACAAACACGTCACATTAAGCTGACACATCGGACATCGATTGTCTGCACCGCCTAGTCAGCGTAGCAAC